CGTGCACTTTCTTTAAAGATATTTGTCGAAGATTGAGTAAAATTAGTTTAGATCATCCTTGACGGTTGCTGCCTGTCTCACCTGAAAATGAAAAAAGGCATTCCCGAGATGCGTGAACACTCACAACGACTATAGCATATTAATATTCCTGGTATCACATAAAACATTATAAAATAAATAGCTTCATAAAGACGTTTCTTCATTAGGTATTCAGAAAAAGGAATATCCGCGTAGTTTACTTATTCCAGAGTGACGCTCGACATGAATAGGAGATTTTGGCCGATTTTAAGTATTTAGGGTAGCCATTGATAACATTTATTTTGTTTTAAGTTAAAAAACTCATTCTCTTTCCCCAAAAGCAAAGAGAAATATGTTTTCTACTGTAGTGGATTATATACTAGCGGGAAACTTTTTTAACCTGTCTGGCAACTAATGAGTTTGCCAAAACTGTGACTGTACAGGCACCTTTCATCTCAACTCCAAACAATAAATGAAAAGAAAGTAATCGAGCATAGGCTAAAATGCCAACTCCAAATTGCGTCGCGAATTTTAATGGGAATATTAAAAGTTCTAATATTAATTGCTAATAGCTTATAATAAATTAAAACTTTAAAAGAACTTTGATCAGGTATCCATTTAACAAACCTATATGCAGTTAACTGTAGTCCAAAGCAGTTTTTTTTCTTGCACTTTGGAAGCGTGGGTAAGTGTTAATTTGTATGTTGGCTATTGAAGAGAGTTGTGTTGATGAACGAAAAAAGTACTTCCCTCTCCAACGAACAAAACCATAGGGGTTATTCCATGGTAATAACACCGGGTTTCTCCCTAATCTTGCCTGATTTTCTACTAATTTACAAGCTAGCGCAGGCTGTTAAGTTTACTTTGGCACGTTGTGAAACTAAAATCCAGTCAATTCCTCGAAGGTTAAGCCGAACGTAGGCTTACCTACAAACTACTACAATTAAGCTCATGACTTTTATTGAGGTAGGTAATCCATCTTGTCATTTAAATGTTTCATAGGTTGGAGTCTATAATTCAGCCCTGGGTTTCTTTCCTCATTGCGGAAGAACACTGATTGCGTCTAAATGGGTGCTAACTGCCGCTCACTGCATCGCCGAGGCCCTTTAATGCAAACATGCCCCATATGGGGAGCTATTCTCGTATCAAGAGGTCACGGGAGAAGAAATGGCGATAAGTGTCGCAGACCATAAATACACGCCGCAAGAGAAACCAGCCTACAACGTGCGAGTGTAAGGTGTGATTGTGCATCCCTCTTTCACCCACGACACTTCAAGCGCTGGCTTTGACATCGCACTCCTGCAACTGAGCAGCCCAGTCAAAGGAAGTAGGTCTGAGCACGTGCTTTGTGCGTAAACTACATTCATATGTGTAAAAGTATTTTCCTTCCTCTTAAAATTTGATCAAGGCTTTGTGTGCCACCGTATTTAAAACATTTACGAAAATGAGCTTTGTCTCCCGCAGTGCATTATACCTTTCACTTCAATTATCCCTTGCAGAGGAAGAAGTCGATGGGACACTTTTGAGGCCATATTATATTTAGGCTGACGTTTCAGAAGCATTCTAGTTTTGATCGTCATATAGCACTGGCAATTTTTCTGCCGACCTCGAATTATTGTGTCTTACCGCTAGCCTCTTATAATGGCCTGATGCACGCGCATCGATCAATGGTACCGACCGTTTGCTGTTGGGAAGACTTGTCGAGTAGTTTTGTTGTCTCTTAATCATACCCACCGTCTTCGCACGCAGTTGCCGGCTTTCGGCTCTGCGTTATGTCCTTTGCCCGAGATCGTGTTCCATTCTGAGCGAACGTTAGCCTCGTGAGGAGGGATCGCGTTCTATGGGTCAGTTAAATGTGCCAGTCGAGGGCAAACTTTCTATCAGTAATCTGGCAATCTTCTCAGTTGCTTGGCCTTTTGTCCTTGCTTTTTTAAAGAAGAAATATAATTCTTCTGCTGCTATTTGTTATATACCGTATACAACCTTTCCTTACGGTTGATTACAACGTGATGCTCATGTAGCCCAGGCCCAAGGCGTTTGCCCAATTCGCCAAAATACCTTGCAACGCAATTTTGGCATGGTATGCTGTAGACCCCGCCTGACTATTCTGTCAAATGTGGCAGGTATTTGGACTTCATAATCTGCTACCTGAAGGTTGACTCTGGCAAATGAGTTAATCTGATCCCGAATGGTCTCAAGATTCTTGTGTTTTTTATATATGGAAGAAGGATTGCGGATAAGTGTTGGCCTGAAATACTTAATGCCAGTCTTTAATCTCCTCTTTTTCACTGCCGTCACTGGAGTGTGGCTGAGCCATTAGAAGAGGCCCCTAAGGCAACTGTATGGTTGTTTCTGAAGTGGAGATGCGCGGTGTTCGCCAGCTTATGGTATATCGTTGTTGGCTTGAAATAATGTGTTTGAAAATACTGTCAACTATAGTGCTGATAGTGAATATCATACGGCCTAGGCTTATGATATATCCCCAGCACATCGGGTTTCAAAATACAGCAAGATATTTTCGTGGACATTTCCTGCTGGACATTTGTGTAAAGCTGCTGGCTGGGGACTGATTCCTAATCCACCTAATGCACCACACCCGGATTATCTGGAGACGTTGATGGAGATAGGAATGCAAATCGCGCCAAAGTCTCAATGCAAAAGCAACGTTCCATATGTCGACGAATATGAGACTTTTTGTACGGATAACGCGCAAGGGGTAATAAATAGCCGTGAAGGCTCTACGTTGCAAATGTATAACCAGAACGGTGCATTCCTTTCCTGTTTCCTATGTTTCTTATGTTTTATTCCTCTTTGTTTCAGGCCCTCTGTGGTGGTGACAGCGGTGGGGGTCTGCAATTTTTAATTCCAGACAGATCAAAATTGGTTGTCTACGGCGTATTATCTACCGGCCCCGAAAATTGCAAGGGGGAAGTCGACGTATTTGCATTGACAGCGACGAAACTCACCAGGATTAATGAGGTAATGGCTGTACATCCCTAACGAAAGTGACTGATATTGCACGCCAAGTACGCTTGCAGAGGAACGCTATGGATGTGTGAACATTCTGCGTTAACTGCCGGTAGTTAGACAAACAGAAAAGTGTAAACTTTTACTCAAATAAAATTCGTAAAATGATTAATCAGAACTCTTCCTGCCTTTGCTCACTAAAGTGGTATGCTATGCAAGTGCACGTAATGAACGCATATAAACTCGCAATAATATACATGTCGTCTGTTTGATAATTGTCAAAAATGCGCCATTTAAACGTACTCGGCTTTTATTATTTTATGCCAGATTTTGACAAAAAGATTGCTTTTCGAACACATGCCATTGACTATTATTTGTTTGTGCACCGATCTGTTCCCCAGGATGTGCCCATCCTCGGAAATGCTTTTGCGAGCTATATCATGGTACGCCAAATGTCTACGCCGGAATACTCCTATGAAAACATGCCATTAACTCCTTAGTCAGAGGGAGAGCAGCGAAACCCGTGCTTTATCCACGTTTTCACATTATGCCTATAATAAAAGTTGCACATTTAACTTTAAAAAATTGGTTTTGAATCGTGAAACAAGTATTGTATTATCTGCGCTCTGACGTGTAGACGTTTTTAAGAGACCCGTATTTCCGACTCCCTGCGGCGTATCTGACAAAATTGCTGTGAGTGAATAAATACTAGATGGCCACTCGCAGATTGGTTACGAAATGCCTTTTATCCATTCTGCCTCGCAATTTAATCGTGAGTCCTGCGAGCACTCGATCAGCAGCTAGGGAAGACGAAATGGGCAGGTAGGAAATAGGAGGTTGGATTACCTCCTCCTGGTGTATTGACAAGCATCAGCCAACTAAACCCAATCCCAAACTCCAAGACGCCGGACCTATGATGAAGTAGTTTAAAACGGTTTACGATAATGTCGCTCAGCCTAACCAGGGTTATGGATATTTTATGTCTTAATGATTAATTGTAAGCGCGTGATAAATGTGCGCAGCAGCAAATTTCATGCAAGTGAACGTTTTCCCTAGCAAGCATTGTTTTTTCATCACGCGAAGCACCAGCACCATAGTACCCCAGAAGAAATGTTTTCGTCGTTTCTTGAGTTTTGCTACTCACGAAGTCTCACATGCCGCACCTCAAGAATTATGTTTTTTGGAATCTGTTGTCGTAGGCCCTTCATAGCAACGAGTTGCTTGTTTGATCCTAGGTTTCTTCAGCCGTTGAGAGTTACGAATGACTGACTGGTGATTGCAAATATTTGGAATTTATACT